GCCTGCGGCAACCAAATTGGCTCTCAAAACTCAAGGCTTTAGTTATTTACCATGCATACTTTTATTAGCTTGACCACCTTGAATCTCTAGGTCAGCTGTCCATGATCTTTGTGGCTTGGCAGCCCGACATGGCAAGGGAGGGGGACAACGGAACCCGGCCGCATGAGTGGTAGGCCAACATGTGTGCATATTTCAACTTGTGCACGTTGAGATGCGTGTGCATGTTCCTGCCCTGCCGCTCATGCAAATTGAGCTTGTGCATGAATACCAGCCCACCACTAGTGGGGCCCACTTCCAAATAGGCCATAGTGCACTTGTGGGCTTGGGTACCCCTGCTCTAGAGGAAAGGGGGGAAACCTGCACACTGGTTTTTCATTACATAGATTTGTTCATGGATTTTCCCTAGACATCTGGTTTTACAGCGTTCTGGAAACAACTGCAGAAGAAGGCTATGGTCCTAAAATGTATTGTTTGATATTCTTAGGGCAATATGGACACTGATCACCATCTCCATCCTCTTTTAAGGCAGTCTAAAGTAATGATTGCCATATAGTACCATCTTGTAATGGAATCCCACAGCTGGCATTGAAGAATTTATTTTGAGCTACTTTTTGTGCAGTTTGATAAGGAACTTCCAGGTTGTATTAAGAAAGGCACCTGCTCTCTTTATTTATCGTAATTAATAATTTTATATGCTGATCATTCACCTTTTTCTTACACCCCAATAGCCAAAATCCATAGCTCTTTCATTTTTTTTGCTATTTCTACACAACATATGCATGTATTGAAATGATAAGAATTCTAGATGTGAATACATCTTAGATTTCTGTACTTACAGTACAGTTTGGAAGTTTTACTTTCAATCTCTTTCCTAATAATCTTTGCTGATTCCTTATTTGAGCAACTATTCTCTAAAGAACTATTTGCTCACACAAAAGGCAAATTCTTAAACTTAGTGAAGCAACCTTTGCTTCAGCTTTTCGCAATACATCCACAAAGAATTATGATGTTGACAGCATCTAACAGAGTTCCTTAACATATCCCTGGGACAGGGAATTTCCTTATTCCTCTTCTGCCCCTTGCTTCAATCTCATAGAATATCAGGAGAAAGTATTTATGGAACATGTGAAGTTGTTAACAAGAATATCCATGTGATGATTCATCTCATCTGAAGTGCTAAATAACAGAAAGGGTCCTGAAATTGTCTAAGATGGGCTGTTATATTGGAAATAAACCCTGTCCAGTGTGAGACTGGGATCCAACCCCCATAGTCACGATTATTTTCCTGAAAGATGTTGCCCTTCATTTTTGGAAACTCTTCTGGGTTAGATGGGGAATATACTTCTGTAAATACATTCGGTAAGTGTTATTTTATCTCAAATAATCCCATTCATATTTCTAAAACCAAGGATATGCTAAACCAAAAAAAAATGCTGATGCTGAAATAAGATTTATTTTGGTGGGAGGGGAATGGCTGGAATGAATGCAAAGCTGGAAAATTGCTTTGTTACATGATGCATTGTGGGCATTGCACAAATGTTCACTTACAGAATATCTTAAATGTTCGCTGCTAGGGAGCAAGCATTAATAGACTTCCTGTCATGTGGGATTCCAGAGTACCATTCTTGGACACAGAACGCTAGATTACCATACTTATGGTGTTAAACTGGACACTGCTTCATATCTTCTTAGAATTTTTCTTCTGTACAGGATCAAATGTTTCAAGATGTGTTGAATTTTGTACTTTTCACCCTACGAGACCAAATTTTTAAAAGTCTCTTGGAATATGTATTAGAACAGATACACTGTTTTATAAAGCAAGGAATTGATGGGTAAATAAATAGTGAAATAAATAAATCAACTGATTAATTTAGGGAAATGTAATTAATCCTAAACTATCTGGTGATTTAGTGGTAGCTAAGATAGCAATGGAATATCCTAGAATGTGGATTGACTTCTGCTAAATTAGATCCAGGAATAAAACGTTTGCCATTTTAAAGATTTGATCTTGCTAGTAATCATGGGATTATATTATAATTGTAAGCCACTCAAGAGTTACCTTAAGGTTAGATGGGCAGCCTATACATTTTATAAACAAACAAACAGCTCAATAAATGAGGTTTCAAAAATCCAGATAACCAAGGTACAACAAAAATATTAAAAACTTTTAATTCTACATCTTGATTCTGTAGTACAGATATGGTAGGCTTACTTTATACAGAAATAGTTTAGTGAAACTACAAGTGACACTTAGAGAATGAATTTTCTACATCCTCCTCAAAATTAGCAGCAAAACCATGTTCCTGAAAAAAAAAAATGCTACTCAAAACCATTGTTTCTTCAGTTATAAATCTGGATAAATTATTTTAAATGGATTTACATTCAAGATTGTAGCCTTTAGTTTATTTTTTAAAATTCCACAGAGCACAAAATAAACAATAAACAAACAACAATAATAAAACCTCTCTTTTCTGTTTGATAGAACTTGCAAATTCATATGAAATAAGTGATATATGTGTCTCTACCTGCAGGGGGTAGCAGTGGAATAGACAATATTTTTACATTTGTATCCTTATGAAGTTTATTTACTAAGGGATCTTATAGAAATAGAAAAAGTAAAGAGCCATACAGTATACATTTACAGTAGTTTCAACTTTCAAATGAAAGTTGCCATAGGAGGCAGCATTACAAATCTTGCTGTCACATCAGCTATCTCTTACTACCATTTGAACAAAAAAATCCAACCTGCAGTTTTGGAAATCAATAGAGCAGTCAAATTTATTGTTCATCAATTAATGTCAAACTCAATCCAATTCAATCATCTAATTAGCTGCATTTCTTTTATTAACTCTGTGTGTATGATAGTCTTTATGGCTCAAGACAATTCTACTTACAAGACATTTCCCACCCGTACCTAGCTATTGTACAAACATATCCCAGCAACATCTATTTTCTGACACGTTTCCAGGATGTTGTCATAATTTCATCCCCCAAAATCATTAAAGCATTCATAGTTCTACTACTGTTAAATTCTATCACCGACTGATTATGTGCTATCAAGTCAGCATCAACTGTTTGAGATTACATGAAGAGATATTCTCCGGGAGATCTATGCTGAACCTGTCTCTTCATGTCTTGCTATGGTGCAACCATTGCTATAATTGAATTCTTCCACTTTGCTGGCGTTTATCTTGTTTTACTTTTTCTTGCCACTTTTCCTGGCATTACAGACTTTTTCAGAGAGCTAGGTCTGTTTTTTATTTATTTGAATTCACTTCATAGGGCTACCCCTTTCACCATAACAACTCTGGATAGCTAACGTTTCAAATGACATTAAAAACAAGTAAAACACAGCAACTTATTAAAAGATGAATGCTGACATAGAATGAATATATCAGACAGGGAATTCTTGACAATGCCACAATTCAGTTTAGTCCAAGGCTTGGGGAATAGGACAGGTTTAAAGAGGAGTGGGCCTTTTCTTGAATCTTCAGGACAGGATCCATGGAAATCTCAGGATGAGTGCTATGCCAGAGTGCAGAGCAACTACACAGAAGTCAGGTTTCCAGGGTATCATGAAATGACATGGTTTTATTGGTGGAACCTAAAATATGTCCACTGTGGGCAAACGAGGACAGGCAAGCATCATGGGACAACAAAACACAATGGAATTCTGTGACTTCATGGAGTGTTGATTATTAGATGTTCTTAAACTTTTTGCCATCCGACTTCCTTTGATGTAATGCTAATGTACATACCTCCCCTAAAAATCCATATATCAAAATGAACACAAATGAACAATGAAAACAATCCAATCCAACTTGGGAAAGTTGAAAGT